CCCTCGGGGCTGGGGGCTGAGCCCCACATTGCCAGGCAGGGGCTCAGGGGGGCTGTGCCCTGCCTGCGGCTCCATCCCCGCAGCTGCGCCACCGGGAGAGATACGGGGGGACGTCGGGAGGGGGGATTCGGCACCTCCGGCAGAGAAAGCATCGTATTCCTGGGAGTCCACGGGAAGGGGTCGGCGAGGCCCCAGCAGGGGAGAGGCAGATCCCGGTGCAGGTCCTGTGCCGCGGGGCCACCCCGTTGCCATCCTTAGTTCCTCGCTGCAATGACTACAGACAAGGCCACGCCACCGAGCGCGATGGCTGTTGCACCGAAGAGCCACTTCCAGGGGATGGACTGAGGAGGAGACACGGGTGCTGTGAGGGGACGGCAGCGCTTCCACCCTGCACAGCCGCTGGGAACAAGTGGGATCCCTCCGCTGGAATCACAGGGATCCGACTTTCCCGAAGCAGGCCCCCACATCAGCATCAGCACCGCTGTGACCCCCAGGGACCTTGGGGGCACCCACACATCCCCTGTGCCACTCCCCGGAGGTGCAGCCCCAGCCCTTACCCAGCGCAGTTTGTCTTTGCACTTCCCGGGGGCTCCGGCAGCGCTGGGATTCCCGAGCATCTTCCTGTACATCTCGGTCTCCACGTTCCTCTGGTCCGCGTGCTTCTTCACCAGCTTCGAGAGCTCGGCGTGAATGGTCTGGGGAGGAGAGTGTGGAGCTGTGCGGATGGGGACCACAGGGCCACCACCAGCGGGCCCCATTGCCCCGGGGCCAGCTTTGTGGAACAGCTCAGAAGCAGCCAGCAAGGGGGGGGGGGTGATGGCCTGATCCTGCCCCACTGCCCTGCACTGATGGGTTGGGCGTCCTGTGGGGCTGAGCACCCCTGTGTCCTTTGGGCCACCCAAGCCATTCCCTGCGCAGCAGCAGGGAGCAAACCCCAGGGTTGATGCCAGACATCAGGAAAAGGATTTTACACAGGGAAGTGTCTGCCTCAGGGACACAGACATGCCCCAGTGCGCCCACTTCTCTGTCTGGAAGCAGGCTGGGAAGGTGGGCTTGAGGAAAGTGGGAAGCAGGATTGCAGCAATACCCGGAGCACGCCGGTACCTGCCCGGCTGTGCCGAGCGGTGGCCATGGCTGCGCCTGCGGGGAATGCTGCAGGAGCAACCCCTGCATCCCGCACAGAGCAGAAGGTGCTGCGGAGCCAAGCACGGCACCACCAGCCCTGCCCTGAGCCCACGGTGGCAGAACGGCCACAGCCATAGCACCACGGTGCCCAACACCGCGGCTGTGCTGTGCCCTCTGCTGGGGACACCACGCTGCGGGTGGCTCCGACACCTCCCTGTGCCCCACACGGGCTCCAGCCCACGCTGGCACCTCCCTGCTCCAAGGGGTGAGGAGAAGGGAGAAGAGAAGGCTCAGGGGGGACCTGATGGCTCCCTACAACTGCCTGATGGGAGGATGGAGCCAGGAGGGGCTGGGCTCTGCTCCCAAGGAACAAGGGATGGGACAAGAGGAAACGGCCTCAAGCTGCACCAGGGCAGGTTTAGATGGAGCTGAGGAACAATTCCTGCCCCAGAGGGTGCTCGGGCATTGGAACAGGCTGCCCAGGGCAGGGCTGCAGGCACCGTCCCTGCAGGTGTTCACACAGTGTGGAGACGAAGCCTGTGCCATGGGTTAGTGGTGGGGAATGGTTGGACTGGATGAGCTTGAAGGTCATTTCCACCCTGGTTGATGCTGTGATTCTAAGCTGTGATGGTTCACAAGAGCCGGGAGGTGCCGATGGCCCCAGAGAAGCAGGCGGAGCCGGGCGGTTTTGGGGTGTTTTCACCCCGGTAGCCGTGGCCCTGACTCACCGGTGTGTGTTTAACGCTGACCGGCAGCCGAGAGGCCCCTCGGCTGCTGCGCCTGTGGTTCCAGTCACGTCACTACCGGGCAGCCGGATTTTTCCACCCCTCTCCAATTATAACACTTTGTTGGGATGGGCTGGAGAGCAGCCGCCCTGGCAGTGACGTGCGGGGATGCACCGGGAATGCTGCTCCCAGTGCTGTTGGCTCCCTCAGCACCCTGTTCATTCAAACCCTGCTGGGAAGCGGAGGGCTCGCGATCCTGCCCGCCCTTCCCCATGGTGCTGTGAGACCATGAGCTCTGTGGGTGCTGTGGGACCACCAAGACCCGCTTTCACAGCACTCCATCCTGCATCGGATCACAACACAAACCACGATGTTCCGGTTCCAAAGAAGTAGATAAACCACCAGACCCAGTTGGGGTCAGAGCCAATCTGTAGAACCAGCCCCCAGCGCACCCAGGCTGGGGCCATTTCCTGGCGCTGGCTTTCCCTTTGTGCCAAGGATCCTGTCCTGCAGCTGATCATTAACCCACAGGAAATTCCTGACCCTGGCCTGGCGCTGGCACGAGGTCCAGGCTGCTCCCACCACGCAGTGAATCACCCCGGGGCTGCTGAGCCAGTCTGCAGGCACCCGGCTCTGCTCCACCTCCCGCAGCCACAGCACAAGCCAATGGAACCAGCCGGCAAGGCCGGAGCAGCCAGGACCATGCACACAAGGATTGCTGGAGCGGGGTTGGGCTGGCAGTGAGTCCTGCCAACAGGGACCAAAGAGCAAAGAGGGAGCTCGCAATATGGAGATAAGGGAGCCACCAGCCCAGCCAAGCTCAGGCATTGCACCATGTGGTTCATTGCCCCATGGCTGGGGGCTATTTCCAGCCTCCCTTCTTGGAGAGAGCTGGGAACAGCTATGGGGACATCAGCTTTCCATGGGGACACCGAGGTTTGCAGGGTCATGGACAAGAAGAGAGCATCCCAGACATGCAGCTCAGCAGGATCACCAGCAGCACGCCACAGCAGCCTACCTTGTTCGAAGGCTCCAGCTTCAACGCTGCCTTCAGGATGGAAATGGCCTCTCTGAACTCGCCCTGCTGAGCCAGGACCTGGAAAGCAGGATATGGCTTGAGCCGGACGGGTGACGTCTGTCCCTTGGTCCTGCTCTCCACCACGCCATGGGGAAAGGCTGGCCACACACCCAGCCTCACCTTGCCCTTGCGGAACAGAGCCTTGATGTTCCCTGGCTGGTGCTCCAGAACGAGGTTACAGGACTTGAGAGCTGCCTCGTAATGGTCCAATTTCAGCTGAGAAGCCGCCAGGTTGTTGAGGCATTTCACCTTCACGTCCAGCAGCTCAGCCTCCTCACCCGGGCTGAAGTCCACTGCAAAGACCCCAGGGGCAGGTTACAGCGGGAAGGGAGCCTGGGCACCCTTTGCTGGAGCAGGCAGGTACCTTTCGAGCTGGAGCTGATGATCTTGAGCGCGATGTCGTAGGAGTTGATGGCCAGCACGTAGTCTGCCTGCTGGTAGAAGAAGTTGCCACGCTCCCGCTTGCGGTTGGCCAGCTCCACCTTCTCCTTCCCGCTGAGCAGCTCCAGGTCTGGGGCATCCCGAGCCTTCAGCAGCTCCACCTCCAGGGTGAGGGCTGCGTTGGGTGGGATGTCAGGACTCCTGTGCAGAGGAGGACACAAACCCATGGCACCGCTGCCAGTGCCACGGGCGCTGTGCCAGGGAGGTTTAGCACCAGAGACCAGGAATCAGAGCTCCCTGGGAAGGGTCATGATGCAAATTGTTGCCCCTGGCAGGACACGCTGCTGTCCCCTGCATGTGCCACACGAGTGGGATCTCCCTGCCCAAAGAACCTGTGGCATGGTGGCTGGATTGGCACTGGGAGAGCAGGGGCAGCTTTCAGAGCCATCCTGCTCCACTCCTCCCCGCTCACCTGCCCTGAGCTCCATAGCAGTACTTCGCATCTGACACGATCAAAGCCGTCTCTCCCACTTCCAGGAGCTGCACACACAGGTCCAGAGCCTGAAGAGAAAAACATCATGGGGTGGGAACGAAAGCAAAGGCAGAGGGGCCGCTTCCAACCCACAAATGAGGATGCCACGGTCCCCGAACCCTCCCCGTGCCCCGGTCCGGCCCCGCACACACGGATGGAGCCCTGACCTGCACGACGTCGCAGTCCCCCAGCGTGAAGGTGAGGGCAGGGTTCTCCTCCACCACGCTGCCGTCCTCCAGCGCGGCCTTCAGGCGCACGGTCACGTCCTGGCCCTTGCGGGGCCGCGTGTCCTCCCCCCGGCCCGGCACCAGCGTCTTCTTCTTGAGCAGCCCGCTCCCTGCGACGGGAGCACCGGCCCCGCGTTACCCGCGGCGGGGAAGGGGGGAGCCCGGCCCCCACCGCCCTGCTCAGCCCCGGTTCGGTGCTGAGGCCCCGCTCGCCCCGGGCTCTCACCCAGCACATCCAGCCACTCCTGGGGGTCCTCGGCCGCTTCCCTCCCGCCCCGCTCCTCCGGCGGCGGGGCCGGTGGCCGGGACACGTCCTCCAGCGGCGGCATCTCGCTCAGGTCCTCCTCCTCCTCCTCCTCCTCCTCTTCCAGCACCTCGAAATCCTCCGCCGTGTCCAGCGCCGGTTCGGGGCCGTTGCCGTTGCCCGCCCGGCCCGGGGAACCGCTCCTCGGTTCCTCCCCGCTCGAAGCCATCGCCGCGGAGCGACCTGGAGCGGGGAAAGGAGGACGGGGCTCGGGCCTCCGCGGACCGGAACCGGGCAGCACCGGGGGGGGGGGGGGGAGTGTCCGGTAACCGCGGGAAAAGGGGAGGGGATCCCCACCGCCACGCGCCTTCCCGCCACCCGCGGGGACCCCACGTCACCGTCACGCGCCGGGACTCCCCCTGGCAACGGCCGCCGCGCGCCCACCCGGCCCCGCGAACCCGCCGGCCCCGCCCCGCGGCTCCGATTGGTCCCGCCCCGCCCACCGCGCTGACGCCATTGGCTGGTGAGAACGTTCGTCAGCCGAGCGCTGGGCGGGGCTTGGAGCCGCCTTAAAGGGGCCGCTGCGGGGGTGGTGCCGCGAGCGCCCGCGGGAGCGGGGCGGGGGTCCTGGCACGGGGGTTGGGGGGTCCCGGGATGTCCCGGGGATGGCGCGGGGGGGAGGTCCCGGCCCTGTCCCTGTCCCTCCACCACCCGCCACTACTTCCGGCTCTGCGCCGTGACGCAGGGGCACGCTGGCGCCGCGGGGTTGCGCTCGACGTGACCCGGTACCCGGAAGCGAGGTGCGGCCGCCGGTGCCGCCGCCGTTCCCGTCATGTGAAGCAGCGGGACCGGCTCCCCCAGGTGCGCGGGCCCCGGAGCGCGCCGGGCCCCGGGGCCGGGGAGTGCGGGGGTGGGGCAGGCAGGGGACCCCGGTACCGTCGGTGGGTGCGTGTGGGGCCGCCCCGGGACTGGGCACGGCGGTAGCGAAGGGGGGGTAGGTCCGGTAGCGGCAGGGGGCCCGGTTACCGGCGTCTCCGTTCCTGGTGCTGAGCCGCCCCCTGCAGTCCCGCAGAAGCGATGGAGCCCACGGCCTCGCAGGTGTTCTGCGGGCGGGTGCTGGGCATGGTCAACGCCGAGGATGTCAACGCCATCATCCTGGCCCAGAAGAACATGTGAGTCCCGGGGGAAGCGGCACCGGCACCGGGAGCCTCCCGGGGTCCGTGCCGAGCTCCGCCCGCTTCCCCCGCGCAGGCTGGATCGGTTTGAGAAGACCAACGAGATGCTGCTCAACTTCAACAACCTCTCCAGCGTCCGCATGCAGCAGATGAGCGAGCGCTTCCTCCACCACACCAAGACGCTGGTGGAGATGAAGAAGGATCTGGACGGCATCTTCCGGAGGATCCGGTGGGCAGCGGGGACGGGAGCGGTGCTGCGGGTCTGGGTGGGCTGCGAGGGGTGGAAGGGAGAACACGGAATGGTCTTGGAGAGGCAAATGTGCTGGTAAGCAACATGGAGAGGAGCTGCTGGAGCTTCGGGATCCCTCAGCCCCGCTCCAGCTGAGATGGGCTGTGCTCCCTTGGGAGGGAGCTGGCACTTGGAGCACCGCACGTGCTGGGATGGGGTGGTGGGGAGGGAGCCCCAGGAACCTCCAGAGCTCGGTTGTGATATCCATGAGCAGCTCCGCTGCAGCCTCACCTCATCCTCCTCTCCCCAGGACGCTGAAGGGGAAGCTGGCGAAGCAGTACCCGGAGGCCTTCAGCAGTGAGTGAATCTTCCCAGCATGGGTTTCCCTCTGGTTTCCCTCCTGTGTCAGAATCCCATTCCTTAAGGATGCACCGGGTGGTCTGTGGGTGTCGGGAGAAGCCGCCGAGACATCCACCTGTGCTAAAAGTCACCTTGATTGTATCAAATGCGTTTGGGAGATGTTCCAAACGGCCGCTCACTGATGTGGCATCACTTTACGTATTGGTTACATGGGCGGACAACACCTTAGAACTGAGTCAATTGTCCTGCTGGGTGCAGCAGAACCAACGCCTGCGCCTTCCCTTGCAGACATCCACGAGTCTCCCATCCTGGAGGACGACGACGACTTTGACCCCATCCCGAAGAGCACCACGACCACCATCGCTACCTCTGAGCAGAGCACGGAGTCCTGCGACACCAGCCCCGACGTCATCTCCCCCACCACGAGCCAGGATTTTGAGGATTTATCCCAAGGCCAGTACGATTTACGGGCCGTGAACGGACAGAGTCTCACAGACGAGGACACAGCCGATGGCCTGGACTAGGCGGCGGGTCCCTGCGGAACTTTCTGCGCTGTGTTCATAGCGGGGTCTCTCTCTGCCGGGAAGAGGGACGCGAAGGCGGGTGCTGGACGGGTGTGCGCCCCCGTGCCTCGCGGGGGCAGAGCAGTAAAACGTGGCTTTCAAACGCCTCTCGTGTCGTCTGTGCGCTCCGGAGCCCGCTTGGGGCGCGGGTGGGCTCCGTGGGGCAGGAGTGGGGGGGGGAATCCTCCCGTGTGCCCCTCGCCGCCGGTACACGAGGGCTGCCCCGCACCGCGGTGGGGCGGGTCCCGGTGCTTTGGCGCGCAGCGGCCGGGAGGGGGCGCTTGGCGCCAGGCGCGCACGGGGCGGGGCGGTGACGCGGCCCCGCGCGCATTCCGGTTCCGGTCGCCCCTTTTCTCAGCAGCGAGGCCGCGGGTGCGGGCGGGCGGGAGCCGGGGAAGGAGGCCGGGATCGGGGGGAGGGGGGTCCGGTGGGGGTTGGGGGAGGTAGGTGGGGGGGGGGGGGGCACCGGTGGTGACGGCGCGGGCGCTCCCCGCAGGAGCCGCCGGTGCCACGATGCAGATCTTCGTGAAGACGCTGACCGGTAAAACCATCACCCTGGAGGTGGAGCCCAACGACACCATCGAGAACGTGAAGGCCAAGATCCAGGACAAGGAAGGTACCGGTGTGGGGCGGGGAGGGGGGGGGGGCGGTACCGGTGTGTTCCCTCTCCCCCCAACAAGTCCCCGCACCGCTCTGCCCCGCAGGGATCCCCCCGGACCAGCAGCGCCTCATCTTCGCGGGCAAGCAGCTGGAGGACGGCCGGACCCTCGCCGACTACAACATCCAGAAAGGTACCCCGGGCTGCACCACTTGGTTTGGGGTGTGTGTGTGTGTGTGTGTGTGTGTGTGTGTGTGTAACGTTTGTCTCCTCCGTGACCGCTCTGTTTCCTTCCAGAGTCCACCCTCCACCTCGTGCTGCGCCTGCGGGGGGGCATCATCGAGCCCTCCCTGCGCCAGCTGGCCCAGAAGTACAACTGCGACAAGATGATCTGCCGCAAGTACGGACCCGTGCCCCCCCCCCCCATCCCCATCCCCGCGGCCCCCGTCGCCGCCGTCGGGGCTCTGCTGACCCGTTCCCCCCTCTCCGTAGGTGCTACGCCCGCCTGCACCCCCGCGCCGTCAACTGCCGCAAGAAGAAGTGCGGGCACACCAACAACCTGCGCCCCAAGAAGAAGGTCAAGTAGAGCGGGCGCCGCTCTGCCCGCGCCCTGCCAATAAAGAGCTCAGCCCCGCCTGGTTTTTGCTCAAATCCGCGTGGTTTTTAATGAAAATAAACGGGGGATGCGGAGCGGGGGGAGCTCGGGGGGAGCTCGGGGGGAGCTCGGGGGGAGCTCGGGGGGAGGCGCGATACCGGGCGCTGCCTGCAGGGGGCGGTGGAGCCGCGCTCCGCCCTCCGCCGGGCCTGCGCCGTGCGACCGGGACCGGGCCATGGTGAGCGGGGACCGGGGGCCGCAGGGCGCGTCCGGGTGGATGGGGGGGATCCGGGGCCGGGCCCTGGAGGCGGGCACGGGGGCGGTGCGGGATGTCCGGTGCATGGGCAGGGGCGGTGAAGCGGGGTCCCGGCGCCGCTTCGGTCCCTGCACACGTGGCCGGGAGGAGCTCCCGGTGCCGGTACCGAACTGAGCTCAAGCGCTGCCGCCGGGCTCCCCTAAGGCCGGCGCTGGAAGGGGACCGGGACGGGACGGGACGGGCCAGGCTCGGTCAGCACCGGCCCTGCGCGGAGCCGCGTTTCCGGAGCCGCCCGGTGAGGCCGCGGGCACGTACCGGTGGCTCCGTCGTCCCCCGCCGCCACCGTCCCCATCTCTCCGCAGACGGGCGAGCCCGTGCAGGCGCTGCTGCGGCGGCTGCGGGCGCTGCAGGGCGAGCGGGCCGAGGCGTACCGGCTGCTGGAGCAGTGAGTACCGAGGAGGGAGCCCCCCCCTCTCCCTTCCGGCTTCGTTCAGAGGCCGCCGGGGCGGAGCTGCTGAGCTCCGGTTGCGGGGGGTGCCTGCATCCCCCTGCAGCATCGGGACACGGGGGACCGACGGGACACGGGCTGGGCTGGGCTGGGCTGGGAAGGGGAGAGACTCCTGTCACACACACACAGAAAGGGGCGGCCGGATCTGTCCTGGGTGAGGGGTGGAGCTGCGTGGTCAGAGGGACCAAGAGCTGCCAAAGCTGGGCAGGAGAGACCTTAGGGCAGCTCCAGTGCCTGAAGGGGCTGCAGGAAACCTGGAGAGGGGCTTGGGACAAGGGATGTAGGGACAGGATAAGGGGAGTGGCTTTAACCTGCCAGAGGGGAGACTGAGATGAGCTCTTAGGCAGAAGCTCTTCCCTGGGAGCGTGCTGAGGCGCTGGCACAGGGTGCCCAGAGAAGCTGTGGCTGCCTCATCCCTGGCAGTGCTCAAGGCCAGGTTGGACACAGGGGCTTGGAGCAAGCTGCTCCAGTGGAAGGGGTCCCTGCCTGTGGCAGGGGTTGGGGCTGGAGGAGCTTTAAGGTCCCTTCCAACCCAAACCATTCCATGATTCTATGACATGAAAACCCCACTGGCGCTGCCTGTGGCAAAGGGAGCTCAGCTCCAGGATGTGGACCGTGGCGTGTCGCCATCCTGCTGTGCTGTGGTGACGGTGGCTCCCCCCACGCGCAGGGGCCACCGCGCGTACCTGAGCAGCGCGCCGCACTATGACTTCCCTCGCTACCGGCAGCTGGTGCACGAGATCACGGTGGCCTTCAGCAGCATCTCCCGCGAGGTGCTGAGCATCGCCGGGCGCCTGCGGGACGAGCTCGCCCGCCCCGACCTGGCCCAGCACCTGGCCCGGCTGCAGGAGCGGGAGCAGGAGAAGCTGCAGCTGGTGAGTGTGGGGCCGGTGTGGGGGGGGCATCGATACCCGGGGCTGCTTTGCGGGGGTCCCACCTCCCGCTGTGTCCCCATGCAGACAGCACAGCTCCAGCTGGCCCAGCAGCAGGCACAGGACCAGCCCCACGTGGATGCCCACCAGCAGGAGGTGCAGGAGCTCAAGCACAAGTAGGTGGTGGCCCCGCTGCCGGTTTCCTTCTCTCCCCCCGTTTCGGGATGGCAGCGTTCCCCATGGGGATAGGAGCCCCCTCCCCACATTTCCCCTCCCTCTGGCCCAGGGGGGCCCAGATGGTGCCTTCAGCCGCGCTCGGGGCCGCAGCCCCGGGGAGGGTTTGGCGATGCTGCGTGGTCCCCTCGGCCTCCCCGGGCTGAGTGTTTCATAAACAGCGCGGGGAAGGCGAGGCGGCCCACATAATACGCTCCATATGGGCTTTATTTATAGTTTCCATCCGCTCTCGTAGGCTAATTAAAACCATTGAGGCAATCAGCGAAATTCTCCAGGACCTCAAGTACGATTCGGAAGAAGCCGAGTGATGGATGTCCCCGTGGGAACGGCTGGAGGGGCCGGGCGGTGGAACGGGGGCCCCGCGCGCCATTCCCGGCCCCCGGCGCAGCCACCCGGGCACCCACAGCACCCAGCAAGGTGGGCAACTTCCCCTCGGCCCCTTTTCTTGAGCACAGGCTGGAAGGGGTGAAGAACACCCCCATCTGTCCAGGAGGAGCGGGGTCCCCCTAAGTCCTGAGCATCCCTCAGCAGAGGGCTGCAGCGTGGGGCTGATTCCACTTCCCAGCTGCACCAGGGGTTTTTGCCCAAGGAAAACCACAACGTGCAAGCCAAGGGGCTGCCTTGCTTTGATCCCCATGGAGATGAGCACTGCCTTCACTGCCAGCAGGAGCCCCAGGGGCAGCAGCCCCCCAAAAGCATGTGTCTTGCTGCACCCCCAACCCCGGCAGAGCTCCAGTGCCCCAGTAGCGCTCTTTCTATGGTCATCCAAAATAAACCTGCCCCGTGGGGCTGGCCTGAGTTGTGTGGTCTAACGGGCTTCTCTGTGTCCCCCAGTGCCACCCCCTCCGGCTCGCCTTGGTCCCTGGGGATGGGGTGACAACGGACACGGGTCCCCTTTGGCTGCCGCTGCATCCCCATCCCCGCGCTGCTGCCGCTGACGCAGACCCTGGTGGGGTTTCAGAGGTTTATTGGCATTAAGCTTAAATCTGTTCCTAATTGACTGAAATGGAACCAAAATAAGGCTGGTTTGAATCAAAATTGGAGCAGGCACTGGGCAAACCCCAGCAGCCTCAACCCAGCCCACGTGGCTCCCCAGGGACGGACCCCCCCCCATGCGCTCGCACATGGGTCCCTGGGGAGAAAAGAGCCCAAATCACTTCCCAGGGCTGGGGGGGGGGGGAGCTGCACCGAGGGTGGGGGACACCCGGGAAGCCCCCCCTTGCCCCTTTCATCCCAGAGGCTGCTCCGGCTGGCGGGTAAGGAGCGAAGCCTCCGTGCCCCCCCCAGCCGGGCAGGGCTGAGGGGTCCCCTCGCCGCGGGGTGCGGGGGGCACCGGACCCGCAGCACGTGAGGAGGGGCTGCCGGGGCTGGCCCAACCCGGCCCCCCCCGTTGACCCCATCCCATGGCCGCGCTTCGCCCCGGCCGCCTTCCTGCTCCGCGCCGGCGGGGCCGGGGGGGCCGCGGGTGGCCCCGGGCGGGCGCCGGGCGCCCCGTGTGGTCCTGCCGGCGCTCGGGCCCCCGCGGGCTACAGCTTACCGCCGGGAAGCACCTGCGGAGAGGAGCAGAACACGCGTAGCCGCCGGGTCCGTGCCCACCCGCCCCGGTACCCCCCCCCCACCACCACCCAGTGCCCCCCCAGGCCGGGGAGAGAAGTGCGAAAGGCTCCTTACCTACCTGGTTGCGTGCTTTGTGCGATTTCTGCAGCCACACGCGCCACTGGTCGTAGAGCTTGATGCCGAGGTTGGAGCAGCCGTAGGCGTGCTTCTTCACCCACCCGAAGAACTGCTTCAGCTCCCGCCGCAGCGTCGTGTTCTGCTCCCCTCCTTTGGGGTCGCAGCCCCCCGCCGCTCGCTCTGCGGGGACAAGGGGATCGGTGGCACCGGGCAACCCCCCCCCCCCATTGCCACCGCGCTGCGAGAGGTGCCGGGGGAGAGGAAAACCAGCGGGGATTTGGCTCTCGAGTGAGGAAACCGAGCTCCAAATCGGCTCTTTTGCAAGAAATCCAGGTGCTGGGTGTGGAGCAGGGAAGGGACCCCCCTGCATGTTCCATGTGTGCTGAGGATGGGGAGCACGGTGCTGCCAGCATCTCCTGCCCCCCAAAGATGGCAGCGGCACTCACCGCTGCGCGGGGTGGAGGCGGCCGTGGGGTTGCTCCAGTCGCTCCAGATGCCGGCTTTCTTGGAGCCGTAGATGCCGAAGGGATTACAGCGAACCTGGACGAAGTAGACGGTGCCGGGGCGGAGGCCGGCCAAGCGGCACGAGGTCTGGTTGCCCACATCATCCACCACCTAGAGAGGGAGGAGATGGCAGCGTGGTCCCGCATCCTGCACCGCGCCCCACCGCCGCCGGGCGATGCCGAGCCCACCTTCCACTCCGAGCTGTCCTCCACCCGGTACTGGATCTGGTACTTGGCTTGGAAGAGGAAATCCTTGAGTGCCGGCGGGGAGCTCCAGCGCACGCTGAGCTGGTCCTCCAGGTCGCCCACCCGGCTGACGTGCACGTCCGGCGGCGGGTCGGTGGTGACTGCGGGGACAGGGTTAAGGAGCCGCAGATGCGGAGGAAGCAGCTTAACTCGATTAGGAGCAATTCTGCTCACACATCACCCATTTCCTGCTGCCTCCCCCCCCAAATCCCAGCGCGTGAACCCGCCGCCGGTTCCCACCGTGAGGTCACCGGTGCCGTGGTGGCACCACGACGTCGCCGTCGCTCACCCACGTCGAGGATGTCCAACATGACGACGTCGGAGACGGCCACCCCCAGCCGGTTGGATGCCTCCACCCAGATCTCGTAGGGCGTGAAGAGGGCCAGGTCCTTGGGGATGTGGCAGGAGTAGGGCCCGGCCGTGTGGTACTCCTGGCACGTGTTGTCTCGGCCGTACCACCTGTGGGGAGGCGCTGAGTGCTGGTACCGGCACCACCGGGTGCCGCGGTCCAGCTGAGGATGCTCCCCCATCCCCAGAGGGCACGGATGCTCCCAGTTGGGACCGTGGCCATTCAACACCATGGGTATGTGTCCTCACCCTCCTCCTTCCCAGCACACTGCTCAGGGCAGGCAAGACCCAGGGAAACTCGGACTCACAGCATCAACCACGTTGATGAAGGACCTTTAGGACCAATTCCAATCCAACCTTTTGCCCAGGGCTGCCAAGTCCACCATAAACATCACACCAG